CAGCGCATTAGCTCATCCCTGCCAAGCTGGGGCATTTCCATAAAGCTCCTGAGTCTCCTGAATCCTTTTGATCATTTGCAGTGTGTATTTTTACACAGGTTCTTTTACTTTAGAGAAATAAAGTAAAGAAACTGAAAGGTGAGCTTGGCCGGGGCACCCTCTGGACTGTTTGCCAATGCAAATTGGGGCTTCAACTTAAATGATAGTTTCCTTTCAATGGCCAGGCTTCTTAAAGCCTCTTTACAAATAATGTTGGTGGCAATTATACCTAGAAGTGTTTGCTAGAGAGTGGAAATCCTTCCTGGGCCAGCGAGATGGTTCACAGGATAGAGCTCACTCTAAAAACATGGTGACCCGAGTTTGGTCCCTGGAGCCCACGTATATATAGGAGAGAACCAACTTCACAGTTTCCCTCTGGCCTCTGCACATGCAGCCTGACACATACACACTCATCGTCCCCCTCCACTAATTAAAAAAAATTCTTCCTGACACCCACATTGCTATCACAAAAGAAGAAGCTAACGTTTTTGTTTGTTGTTTTTGACAGCCTGGATATCCTTTGCCACATAGGCAAGTTTTCATATGGGTCACTGCTTGTGTGACATTTGCTCTCTCACGGTGACTTCAGGTTCCTCTATTTAAAAATCTTTACTTGGGGTCATTGGATGGGCAAATACTTCACCTGTATTTAAAGCTTGGTGGATTTGGATTTCGTTGCTTCCTAGATGTGTGACTTGTGTGAGAAAACTTGTGGAAAAACTTAGCTTGCTCATCTGTGAAGGGAGCCATGCCTTTCTTGTACAAGTAAACAGCAATATCTGTATTTTGTGTTGATAAACGCTGAACATCAGGGGCAACTGAACTGTCCATTCATGGATGAGTGGATAAACAAAATATGGTTTACACATGCATGTGAGTGTGTGTGTACACTTGTGTGCACATGCGATAGGACAAAAGGAAGGACATTCTAGCATAAGCTACAGCATGGATGGATCTGAGGATATTATGCTAAGCGAAACAGGCCAGCCACCAAAAGACACATACTATATGATTACGCATATGATTCCCACTGTTATGTGCAGTCAAAATGGTAACATTTAATCAAATATATTTGCATTTCTTACAGTACTGTGCCATTGTAGAAATGGCAGAGTAAATTTTTGGGGTATTTATGTATCTTCCCATTACTGGGGATTGCACTCATAATCTCTGTTCCCTGGCTCACCTCTTCTTCGTGGCTCTTGCACATGTGCAAGTGATCTGTCTAAAACAGCTTAGTAATTTTTGCTGTCATGGGTCAAATGAAGCAGGTTTCTTCAGCGTCACCAGCACACTTTCAAGCATTATAATAAATAATAGATGGTACACTAATGTTTTGATGTGGATTTATTTGCTTTTATTCAATCACTAAAAATGTTGAACATTTCTTATGTCTTAAAGTAGTTATTGCTTCCTGTATAAAACACCTACTTGCATCTCTGGCTTACATATATCTTGTCCAGTTTTAATGTTTTTTTCATACCAAAATGGCTGTCATGTTTACAACAAATTGTTACCATTTTTAACACTCAGAGAGCCTAAATGCTTTGTTCATGTGTGTGCATATATGAGAGTGTGTTGTGTACCATGTATTCATGTGGGTGGCAGGTATGAGTGTGTGGTGGTCAGAGGTCAGCATCAGGTATCTTTCTCCATCACCTTCCACATTATTCTTTAGAGACAGGGTCTCTCCTGAGCCTGAATCTCATTGATTTGCCTAGGCTAATTGGCCAGTGAGTTCTAGGGATCCACCTGTCCGTACAACCAATTCCATTCCCCAACATTCATTACAGATAAGAGCTACAATGCCAAGCTTTCTTATATAGGTGCTTAAGGTCTAAACCAAAGCCCTTATGTTTGTGATGCAGGCACCATAGCCCTGAGCCCTCTCCCTGGCCTCTTAGTGCTTTCATATTATCAAGTCACTGGATCACTTTAGAAGTTAAATCATTCATTTTGACACTTCACATGGTTACATCAGATGTATGATAGACCAGAAGTGTTTGCCATTACCACTGCTACTGATGCTAAGCTCCCTATAACCATTCCTTTTGTATGTTAGTATAAAGTCTACTCAGGAGACTGGGAAAGGCTCAGTGATTAAAGTGCTTGCCACAAGTGTGAGTCCATAGTTCAGATCCCCAGAAACCTGTATAAATGCCAGGTGGGCATGGTGGCACACCTGTAATTCCTGAAGATGGGGACAGGGATCCCAGAGAAGCCTGACTAGCAAGATTGACATTGGCAATCTGTGGGTTTGATTGTGTGATCCTGCCTGAGTGGATAAGGTAGAAGAGGGACCAGGATGATTTCAGACACCAACCTCAGGCTTCTGCATGCACAACACCCATTGTAGATGCACCCACACATGTGTATGTCCACACATGAAAACACACACACCACATGCACATGGAATTGGGGAAAACAATGAATAAATAAATAATCTGCTTAGATGCTAAATTCTATGACTGTGCTATCTGAATAACATTATATGAATTGACCAACTAAAAATAAAATTTAATATTTTAGCCACTAGTATCATACTGTGAAAAGAACACAACCAACATTAAAGAAAAAACTAAATCAGCCAATCCACATGAAATGTAGTGTTTACTCCAGTAATAAGGAACCCTGTCCAGCTGAAGCATAGCCCTCTCCTCCAGCTATGAATGCTAGGTTTAAAAAGACCATGACAGTGAGTGAGACTGGCTTCATGCAGCTCCTGGGAAAGAAAATGTGGTCAGCCTTACTGAGGAGGAGTTTGGCACTGGGCACCAAGGAATCTTTCAATATTTATAATGTTGATCCAGAAATTCTAGTTATTCAACTGTGACTTGAGATGCCTCTGAAGTGTGGGGAAATATTTACATTCATGGCTAGAAATAGGATTCTGTGTGAATGCCCAATGATAGGAAACAAGTGGAGAAGTAATCACACAACCATCTGAGGGAGTGTTATGAGTTATTGTAAGTGCCATTCGCTCAAACCTTCATTGCAGTACATGATTTTATTTCCTCCTTGTTACTTCTCTTACATTTCTCACATCTTCTTGGCTTAACATTATTTGTAAACATCGCTCCTATAATAAAGAAAAATTTACATATTAAAAAATTAGAGAGACTGAGAGACTTTATTCCTATCCTGAGCTCAGGTTCTCCATGTTCACCTTGCTTGTTCTCCTTTGGCATAGTGAGTGGCCCCTGGATGTGAAGTGGGCAGACACACGTGTTTAGATTGTAGTACAGTTATTCACTAGCTGTGTGGCCTTGGGTGAATCTAACTTCTGTGTATCTTGGCTGTCTGGTTTGTAAAGTGGAGTTTCTGTCTTCCTTGCTATCAGACAGAACTAAAGAGAGAAACCCCCACGTGCAATGAATCCTCTGCCCTGCTGAGCCTCAAGTTTGGAGCTCTTCCCAGATAATCTCATAGTTGGTCATTGGCGTGAAGGATCATCAGAATTCAATGGAAGAATGGTCATGGTGTATTACCAGGACAGAGCAAGGCTCCATCCAGGTCAGCCAGGGAGGCAGAGCAGTATCTGGATCGGTTCCAGGGGTTTCTGAACTTTCTCTAGCGGAGCTGAGATAAGTCAGTCTCCAACATCCAGGCATAAGAGTGCACAAGGTGCTGATCACCTAAGCCTTGGAGTCCTAGGATGTTGTGCAGGCAGCACCTATTGGGTCAGCATGATCAACCGAGTGATTGCCCAGTGTGGTTGGAGTCAGCCTCCAGGTTATCTAGTAACATGCCAACCAAAAGTCTCATGGTTGTTCTTTCTGTATGATCAGTCCCACCTTAAGACTGCCATTGTGAACAGCCTCATTTCTGTTGGATATCTTATAGTTTATCTCCCAGGCACCAAGGGCAAAGGCCAGACCTCTATTTGGACAAGGCCAAATTCTTTATGATACATAAGGTGACAGAAAAGGGAGAGTGAGCGGGTTTAGATACAGAGATAGTGTTGTCTGGGGAGGCCAATTATATAGGGTTCTGAGACTGGCCAATAGGAAGAACATGAACTTGACAGCTTCAGGATTGCCTGTGAGAGCAAACTCGCAGTATACCCTGCAAAAGACATCTTCCAGCATTGATATTTACCACGGAGAGGAAGTGAGCTGGGAATATAAAACCTGGGTGCTTGACTCTAACTGCACTCTCAGTGTTCAGAGCACAGCAGTGTCTCTCGCCACTCACTAATTTATCTCATCGAGATGAGTTCTCAGTCTATTTCTGCAGGTTTCTCTCTCTGGAACTGTACTTGAGCCAAGCATAGGGTGATGTAAAAAGAACTCGATAACTTCCCTTTTGCAGAACTTTCGGTCCTGAGCACTGGGTCAGACTGGCTCTAGACTTCATAAAAGTCAGATGAGAAAAATGAAAGTTCAGGTTGGGGGACATGGTTCAGCAGCTAAGCATTTGCTTTGCAAGTGTGAAGACTGGAGTTCAGGTCCCCCAAATCCCCATGTAAAAGCCAGAGTGGGTGTGGCAGTCCACCTGTAACTCCAGCAACAGGGAGGTTGAAGATCCTCAGAGCAAACCAGCAAGGAGACTAGCCATATTACCAACCTCTAGGTTTGACTGAGAAATCTTGTGAATAAGATAGGCCAGCGACCGGGAAAATTCCTGACATCAACCTGAAGTGCCCATATGTACGCCCACACATGTGTACCCACACACCTGAATAAATGCATGGTGGGGAGAAAAATGAAAGTGGAGTTTAGTTCTCATATGAGCGGACACAGGAGAAGTTTTCATCCCGGGATCTCCGGGGGATAACTATGCCTTTATAACTGGGGACAGAGACTGGGATGAGAGACCAGCAACTGAAATCCAATTACACTTGTGCCCTTCCATCAGAGAGAAGAGTTCAGCTTCCATCTGTGGGGTCTTTGGAGCACCAAGAGCTTGCAATGACTTGATGTTATCAGTAAAATTGGGTTGTATGTTCCGTCTCTCTCCAGAAAAAACCGGCCATGCAGAAGTCGTCCGGGTTGTGTACCAGCCAGAGCACATCAGCTTTGAGAAACTGCTCAAGGTCTTCTGGGAGAATCACGACCCGACCCAAGGTAGAGTGATGAGTGAGCCAGTATTTAATTATCTTACTAATTACAGCTGGGATAATTAGTGTTTGAGCTGCATGGGAGAGATGAACCTTGAAATCACACAGGAGCTCAAGAATATGATTGCAGACATTTACTGACAGAATGGGGCGGGGGCACACGGGGAGTAGAGGGGTGAGAGAATAAAGGCGCAGCCACAGTCAGCGCCCCTCCCCCTTTACAGCTGTCAGGGGTGGGAAAATTCCCACAGAGAAAGACGCCAGACAATGGAGATCCCTTCACCTTTGATTATTGCATTATTCTTCCTTAATGCAGCCTTTTGTCTACAGAATTAAAGTGTCTTTCCAGTAACCGAAAAGTTTTCCTGATTTATGGTCCCTTTGTTTTCTCAGAGTTTAGCCTTTTTCATCTTTTGACATCATCGAATTTTTTTTTTTTTTTTTTAAGAAACGTCTATGGGTGATTCTAGGAAGGGGGAAAAGAGAATATAAAGGTGAAAAATAGTGTTCAGCAGTCCACAATGCTTGGGTTATTCAAACATTTCATTTGTCCTCCTTGGAATCTGTTATGTGGGAATATTAATGTATCTTGACTACTGGTGGCCAGAAACATTATTTGGATATGCTCGAAATCAGAAAGTTCCCCGTTGGCTAACACTGTGGTAATAGCCAATAATGAAGGATTTTTTCACTCCATCCTAGCCACCTTACCAGGGGTGGCTTTGTTAGTGCCACGTGTGGGGATGCCGAAGCTTCTGAACTGGGATCTTGCACAAGCACCTTTTGTCCAGCCTCTGTCTACTCACAGAAATGATTTTCCCCGTTAGGATAACCTGTGATGGGTTTGCCATATTGACTAGCTCTTGACATGTGGACATTTCCTTCCCAGATACATTTGTGCTTGTAGTAAAATTGTAACATGGGCCCATCAGAGCAAGTTGGCAGGTCTTAAGTGCTGTTTGTTGTGTTGAATGTGTCCCCCAACATGCTGGACTAGAACTCTCCAATACTAGGGTCATTTGCAAAGGTCAAAGATCATAGCAAAGGCAAGTACAGCAGAGTAAGAGCAGGACCAGGGAAGTCCAATGGGTAGGTGACAGCTAAAATCTGGGTAGAGCTGTAATGACAACATCTGGTTTTCTATGGTGGCGGGTCCTTGGTGGAAGAGAACTCAGATGTGGGGCAGGAGGTCAAGGCCTGCAGGAACAAAAGCACTGCTATCAGGTTTGCTGACACCAAAGTTTGGGTGACTGGGCTGGCCTAGCATGTGAGGACATTAAGCTCTGGCTGGTACATATATCTAAGAGCTCATACTATAAGTCTCCCATCAGATGGGCAGACATTCAGTCATGTGTCTGGGGAAGCCGAGAGTCAAGATAGGATGCCGAGAGCATCTTAACTATCCAGGATGCCCACATCAGGAATCCAGAAAGCCCAAGGCCTAGGTTCCAGCAGGCTGGGTGTGCAGCCTGTAACTTGGCTGTCTTATCCAGTGTTCTTCCCTGTAGGACTCCTGAGGTCTCACTTCAGCAGCATCTCAGACAAGGCCAGCGTGTTGCTGACTTTTCTGTCTTTACCTCCTTTAATATCTTACCATCCCACTGTGTCTTTATCAGCACAGTATGTTAGCAGGTACTGGCCCTTGAATACTTGGAAGATGATTCCCCGAGGAAGGTCCTTGAAGATCTCTATTCCCTACTACACGTACACTACATTTGCCTCAACAGTCCTCACTCAGTCACCTCCTCTAGGTTCTGTTTGCTTGTTTATGGCCTGAGTTACTGTATTAGTGTCATAATAAAGTATGAACCCCTGAATGGCTTTTAAAGCAGGCATTTATTTCCGCAGGCTCTTGAACCTGCAAATTCAAGGCCAAGGGGTCAGCAGGCCTTATTTCTCCAGAGGCCTCTCTCCTTGGTGTGCTGATGGCCCTCTCCTCTCCATGTCCTCATGTGGTCTTTCTTAGGTGTGCTTCCTTTTCTTACAAGGACACCAATCATATTAGATTAGGGCTCACCATAATGGCCTTGTTATACTTAATTACCTTTTACAAATCATCAGTTGGGGCTGGAGAGATGGCTCAGCACTTAAGAGTACCATCTGCTCTTCCAGAAGACCCAGATTCAGTTCCTGGCACCCATGCGATGGCTCATATGTCCTTTTCCAGCCTCCAAGGTTACCAGGCACAGATATAGTACATAGGTATAGACACAGGTAAAACACCCGTGGTCACACTCTGGTGCAGGAGCAGAGACTTCAGCTGTGCAAAGAAGAGGGCGCAATGAACCCATTGCTCTGTCACTAGAGTGACAGCCCACAGCAGTGTCCACTGGTGACAGCCCACAGCAGTGTCCACTGGTGACAGCCCACAGCAGTGTCCACTGGTGACAGACTTATCTGCTTTCCCCCTTGAGGTGTTCTTTAATGCCATTCACATACTTATAAACTGGAAGTTGTTTTAAAACCCATCCAGGTGAACATTGTAGACTGAATGAAGCCTTACCTTCCAATGTGCTTCCTGTCATTAGATTAGCAGAATTACTTTGGGGATAGCTAAATGCAGTGGAACATGGTCTCTCTCTCTCTCTCTCTCTCTCTCTCTCTCTCTCTCTCTCTCTCTCTCTCTGTGTGTGTGTGTGTGTGTGTGTGTGTGTGTGTGTCTCCCCAGTGAATGGGTAGGTGACTCGGCCGAGAGGGTTCAAGTTATTTCCCAAGGCTAGTTACATGAGAAGAGAAGGTGCCTCCCTTTGCTAAGGGTGCTCTGTGTGTGGACAGCCTCTTCATGGGGGAAAGAAGATGACACTGAGATGTAAACCCCACCAGGAGGCTCTAGGGGCCGGAGACCTGCCCTTCCTGCAGCCAGCCTCCCACTCTGCCAGCTGTCCCAAGGCTTCCTAAGCCCCAGAGCCGCATGTTCTTCCTGCCCTTCTTTAGCTAGACTGTCAAATCTCTATGCCTTCAATCATGGAAATTCTAACTCATCCACTGTCTAATTTCGTCATGGTACCTACCATATTAGGAACTATTGACTATACTCACCTGACTTATAAGTCAGAAGGCTAAGCCATTTGGTTAATAGTCTCCCCATCGATTAAGATATGAAAGGGAGATCACTAAAAAGCTTCTTCCAGACTTGGTAGTTTGATTAGGGGTTTCCTCAGTGATTCAGAATCAGTGTTTAGGATTTGGGATGTGTGGCTGGAAAACATGTGAGACTCTTCCTGTCACCATCTTCGAATTGCTAAGGAAGCAATTGTCCATTCAGGACCTTGTGTGTCAGGCATGCCATTTGGTGATGCTCATCACTAAGTAGTCTGAGTAGGTTGGAGGACCCAGTCACTGAAACAGAGGGAAATGTGCTCTCACATGAAAATAGTCAGAACCAAGTGGAACAGGATCACAGGAGCACTCAGATAAGTGTTTGTAAGACTGTACGCTGGAAAATACAAGCCAAAATGCAAATTCAGAAGAACCCTGACTCATATTCCTAGGGACCCCCGAAGCTTCTAAACTTGTGGTCATGTATAATTTTTTCATGGGCAGATTGAAGTGAGGGTAGGTAGCTGGCAGGAGAGAGTTAGCCTGGGAATGGACTTGGCCTCCCTCCTCATCATGTTTCCCAGGGAAATGGCTGTGCAAAGAGAGCTGCTTGGCATGAGGGTAGTGAAGGTATGCAAGATAGCCACCTCATGCAGAGAACACAGGGAACTTCCAGGAGAGAGCAAGATGGTGGGTGTGGGTAACTCTGAGCTGTGAAGCAATAGCCCCCTCAAGTTTCTTTTCCAGAAGTGAAAATGAGCAATTCCTAAAGCCCTCCCGGGGATGCTCCCACCTGCATGAGAGCTGCTTATCGGCAAAAAGACTGCCAATGCTGAGGAAGTCAAGCAGGGCTGCCTGGCCTTTGATGAGAGGACACACCAGAAAACATGCACATCTCCCCAATAATATGACTACAGAGACACAGATCAGAAAGAGCATGTTGGAAGATTTTAGAACCTTCTTGATAAAGTTGTTAGGGGTCTGAAGGGCCACTCACATTTTTGGATTAGAGTTTAATGTATTTGGAAGGAAAGTAGAATCCTTGGCTGATATTTGCAAGTGTGGAAAATTTTGCTGTTGTCAAGGGTCCTACCACAGAATAAGAAGAAGCAGTAACTTAAGCTTGAAATATCTTTGCAAGCAAGTCAGACCCTCAGGACCAAGAAGAAATGGGAATCCTATGTGTTCTTCTGTGCTTCAAGGGACCAAAGCCCCACTAATAGTGTCTGCCCTTATGGGTAGAACAGAATCCCGACAGGGTCACCACTTAGAAGAGAGCAGAGCTGGCAAGAAATGGAAGATTCTGGTTTGGGAACTGTTTGGGAACTGGGGAGATAACATCCAGCAGAGTACTTGCCATACGAACACAAGGCTGAGTTTGGAGTATCCAGCACCCATGTCAAAAGCCTGATTGGATGTCACTGCCTGTAATTCCAGAGCTGGGGAAGTAGAGACAGAAGGGTGTGTGGGATTCACTGGTTGACTAGCATAACTGAACTGATGAACTCCTGATTCAGTGAGGAACCCTGACTCAAAAAATGGATAGTGACTAAGGAGGACAACTGATTTCAACATCTGGCTCGCCCGTGCGAGCAAACACACAAACACACACACACACACACACACACACACACACACACACACACACGGGAGGGGAAGAAGAGAGAGAGAGAAAGCGAGAGAGAGAGAGAGAGAGAGAGAGAGAGAGAGAGAGAGAGAGAGAAGGACAAAGACAGGTCTTTCCACAGTCGCTGGGAGCCAGTCCCAAGAGATTGGCCAGATTCTCAGAAGAGAATCTTTCACTTCATCTACCATTTATTTTTGCCCAAATCCTCAAGTTTAGGCCAATAAATCCTGTGTTTGCTTTCTGTCTTTGCCCACAGGGCAGATATAACAGTAAGTAGATTTCTAAGGAATTCCTAGGGAATGTGGGAAAGACAGAATGAAGAGATTCTTGTTCTGGCCCCG